TATTTTTTTTTAAAAATGAATTAACTTTAAAAATACGTTTGATTATAAAATTTCGAAATTCAACGGATCTAACCAGAACATTCATGGCGCCAGCTTTGAATTGATGTGGATGTTTTGGTCGCTTCTCTCTAGAGATGTACACAAGATGAGGCAATCCATCAGCAACACCCTCCTTGTTCTCCAATATAACCTTCACATTAAATTATATGTTATGCATTTACAAATATTGTAAAATATTTTGTAATTTAACTTGTTATAATAAATTATTTATTTTATTTGAAGGATAACCTAGCTAGTATTATTGTGAAAGTTCTAAAGAGTATTAAAAACATTATTGAAGATTTAAATATATTTAATAATAGTGGTTGAATATGAATTTTACTTGAAAAATGATTGAAACTTGAAATACTTTACAAATTAGTTTTCAACTACAAATTCTCCCAAGCTAAATTTGATATAACGGAGAAAATTGTAAAACAAATATTCATTATGTTTCAACTTTGTTTGTCTTACTTTTTCTTTTAATTTTAAAAAAATGTTTGTTTTCCTTTTTAATAATTTTTAATTTTAATTTTCCACGTGACATGTTTAAGACTGCAAGACTAAAAAATATTTTATTACATTCTATATAAATATTTTTAGCTTCAGATTATATTAATATTCAAAAATCTTTTTCACTTTTTTAAGCTCCGTATCAAGTTAAACCAGCAAATAAATTGAAATGGAGAAAATATCAACTAGTATTCATGTCCAAACGGCTGCCGTTAAAATCGAAAAGCTATTGGACATATATTGTCTAGTTTTAATTTGAGAATTGGTGGATATGAAAAATAAAAGGAATTCTTTTCGCAAGGATAAAAAAATATCAGTATAAAACAGAAAATGAATTGTTGCAATTGAAGTTGACTGAAAATGACTAAGTAAAGAATATATATACGTCAAAACATATTAAATTTAGACCTTACATTATATATAAACAATTTTGTAAGGTTCGATGGGACCCACAATAATATTATGACAATATATCATCAAACTTTTATTGAATTTAGGGAAAAGGCCTAATATACCCCTCAACTTTGTCATTTAGAGTTGATATGCCCCTTATTATGAAAGTGACTCATATATACCCTTACCGTTATACAAACAGCTCACATATACCCCTACCATTACAAAATGAGCTCACATATACCCTTCACTTAACGGAAGTGAAAAAATTAGTTTTAAATTTATATTTTTGACTTTTAATTTTCTTAAAAATTAGTTAGGGGTATATATGATTCTTCTAGCAAAGTTCAAGGTATATTTTAATCTTTTTCATACATAAATTATTTTTTGACTTCTTTGATTATAATTATTTGAGTTTCTTATTCTTATTTTATTTTTTTCTTGCATTCCTTAGTGTAAAGAAAAAAATTTAAAACTATTTTTTTGTGGCTATATTATAATTTAAAACTATTTTTTTTGTCTATATTGTAATTTAATTTTTGTATTTGAAGAAAAAAATTTGGTCATCTATAATAAGTTTTACAAGAATATTAGTGAAACATAAATAAATTTGACCATCAAAATAATAAATTTAAATTAGTCATCGAAACAAAAAAAAGTTAAAAAAAAATATGTTTGAGGAGGATTAAATATTGGGATTATGTTTTTTTTTTTAAATAATAAATTTTAAAGTAAAATTAATTTTTTTCATTTCCGTTAGAGAAAAAGGGTATATGTGAGTCATTTGTATATAAGTAGGGGTATCTATGAGCCACTTTCATAACGAGGGGTATATCAGCTTTAAATAACAAAGTTGAGGGGTATATCAGACCTTTTTTCCTTGAATTTATATGATGAAAAATAGGAATAAAATCAAGCATGTTGATAGATATTTTAATTATATTTACATGCCTAGTGTTAAAATACTACAAACGAAAATGATAGGTGGCAACTTTGCAATGGAATGACTAAAAAAGATTTTGTAATATTTGAAATTAGAGAGGAAATGAAAACTTTCCAAAGAAAAACAAAACATACATCTTCTCTCTTAGTAATAAGTTAGATTTAAAATATCATTTTATCAAATAAATAAAATGATTTATAACTACACAAATATATAAGACTTATTTTAGATCATAAATTTCAAAAAAAAAAAAAAATTCTTATATTTTATGTTAAATTAAAATATATCATATAAATTAGGACGAAAGGAGTATAACTGAAAAACCTTTATAATGGTCGGATGATTTTTTTGTTGGATATTTGAGAAAACAGCAAAATCTCCAGCAAAATCAAATGTCTCTGGTTCTTGAGTACTTGCGTCTTCTATCTTTTTACACAACTGTTTATATTCATCCTGCAATTTCCAGACAAAAATTAGTTTACTTTATATAGTACTCCTTGCAGGTATCTATAAAATATTATATAATGATTGTACCAATCAAAATTTATATTAAAAAAATAAAGATTAAAGTTCCCTATTTTTATTGTGTAAAAATCCTATTCTTGATTTACATTTACATTTTAAGAGGCGGGTTAGACTGAATTTGAGCATATCAAAAATTACTTGGGCTAAAATGAATTGGACACGCATAAACATACTAAAATATGTGTCTTAACTCAACCCTCTCACTCCTTACTAAGTTTCACTTAGTTTATTTGTTCTTGCATAATTTTTGAGTACCTAAAAAAAAATAAAAATTATTATGGCTATGAATAACCTATCAAATAAAAAAAAAAGCATTTTAATAAGATTACTCATGACTCAATTTAGCTTCATATAAGCTCATATTTTTCTTAGAATGAAAGAGTTTTTATGAGTAAATAAATTAATGAAAGCATTAAATAGCAAAGTGATAAATTATATTTAACTCTTTTTATTTATTTTATTTAGAAACTATATAATATACATATATACCTTCATTCTTGTCCAATCTTGTTGAAACTCTTGTGAACTATCTTGTGTTGGTGATGAGTTACCACTAAAATATCGAAAAGGAGCTCTAAGGGCAATATTATATTTCTTACAAAAAGGAACCCAAAGTTTAGCAAATTTTGATGCTTCAACAAGTGAATAATACGTAACAATTGATGCACCATCGTCTGAGACATAACAAGCTAGCTTATTAGCCGGATAATCCACCGCTAACAACGATAACACGGTGTTTATCGTTATGAGAGGCGGTTCTAGGACGGGATCTGCTGTTGTAACAAATATGTCCACAGCTGGAAACTTCGAAGTCCTATATAAGATTATACAAAATAACAAGATCTTATATTAGATATATGTACCTAACAGATATTAAAATCTAAAAATTGGCAAGTGATTTATACTTATTAAGGAAATATTTCAATTATATATATCTATACAAAAAATATTTTATGGGACATATTTTTAATTGAAGAGGTTTTGATTGAAGCCCTTAGCTCCACTATATATTGCTATAAGGTACTTCAAATATAACTTCAAATAAACAATTATAATAAGTGAAATTAATAATCTGAAAGAAGAGAAACGACCTATATTAACAAGCAATGATATCTACAAATAAGTTATATAAATTCAAGAGTGACGTTAGATTTTGCACGCATATATACGAGTTCAGTAGAATTCAGTAACTTCGACTCATGATTTGCTTTTAACAATTCACTTAATACATAAAAAGGAATTTAATAGCTTGTTTTTTATTTAGCATTCAAAACTCATTAACTCAAAATTCTATCTCCGCCGCGACTAACTATATATCAAGAGGAAGTTTGATTGTGGTACCGTTCCAAAAGGCGTAGAGGATATGTTTTTGGTTCAACTTGATTCCATTTTGTGCTAACGGTGAGAATCCAAATGAAAGTGAACCATGATTCACATATAAGAGCCAAGAGCCATTGTAAATTATGAAATTTTAGAGTGAGGAATCTATAGGCCAAAAGTGAGAACAAAAGGAAAAGAATGAAGAGTTCTATTACTCTTGATATATAGTTTTTTCTATACTTAATTTCATAAAGAGGAAGAGAAGAAGGTGTTTTGGGAGCCATTAATAATGGAGAAACAAGATACACAAAAACTACTAATTATTGGAAATGAGTTTTTCCCTTTATTTGCTTCTCAATGTTTACATATATTTATAGATAGTACACCACGGGCTAAACGTTGTGCTAGGGCGGTACTAAGCTTGCGTTTGAATATGTAATTTCATATCACAATCGGCACAATAATATTTATTTTTTTCTAAGTAATTAATACTAGCCACTTAAAAGATTGTAGTGTATTGTACAATTGTTTTTTAAAAAAATATTTATTTATAACAATATCCCCACCTTATTTAGTAGAAAAAGAATTTAAGGGATTTCATGAATAATTTTTTCATTTTCACTATTTTATTCAGGGACAACTAGTCTCGATATTATCATTCCATGATCTAGTAGGTATAAAATTTGTTGGAGAAGAAGTACAGAGAAATCTGGAAATAATAAAAAAGAGAAGGAAAACTGCGACTTCTTTCAATTTATGATTAATTGGAAGTTACAAAATAACAAAATATGCCCACATGATATATAGGCTAAGTGATAAATAACTAATCCTAAAATATAGGTCCTATAACCCCACTAAAACACTATTTCAGCAACACTAGGAAACTACCTAACAGGATGCAGAAGATTAGTTCAACCAAACTATCCATGTCCTAATGTACGTGTTCCTACTTTGTTTTGAATCACTTTTCAACATTCCCTCTTGATTCAAAACTACAGACACCAAATAATCCTCTGAAATAGCAAAATTTCTCTTTAGATATAGCCTTGGTAAGTACATCTGTCAGCTGGTCTTGTGTCTTGCAATACTCCAACAATATTTCCTCTTTTGCTACCAAATCACGAATAAAATGGTAACGAATATCAATATGCTTTGTCCTGCTATGGAATGTTGGATTCTTGGTCATGGAGATTGTTGCTTTATTGTCACAAAATATCTCTGTTGCTCCCTTCTGCACTTGTTGAAGGACTGCTAATACTCTTCTTAGCTAGACAGCTTGACAAGCTGTTGAAGTTGCTGCAATATACTCAGCTTCTGAGGCTGACAATGTAGTTGTAGCTTGCTTCTTTGACCTCCAAGTCACCGCACCTGAGCCTAGAGTGAAAACGTTTGCTGAAACACTTCGTCTGTCATCCAATGAACTTTCATAATCGCTATCTGTGTACCCACACAATCTGAAATTATTGGTATTTGAGTACCAAATGCCATAGTCCAAAGTTCCAGCAATGTACCGTAAGATTCTCTTTGCTGCTCCATAATGTACCTTTGAAGGTTGCTGCATAAACCTTGAAACAGCACCAACAGAAAATGCAATATTAGGTCTAGTGTGCGTCAAATATATTAGACCTCCAACCAAGCTTCTGAACCTCCTTGCATCTGCTAACTCTTCTTCATTCACCTGCTGCAATTTTTCATTTATAATCATTGGTGTAGCCGCAGGCTTGCAATTGAGCATGCCAAATTTATTGAGAAGGTCTCTGCCATATTTCCTTTGTAAAAGAAATATTCCATCCTCGGTTTGGTGGACTTCAAGGCCCAAAAAATAATGCAATAACCCCATATCCGACATCTCACTCATTCATCATTTGAGACTTGAAATTATCCATAAAAGAATTAGAAGAGCTACTGTAAATAATATCATCAACATAAAGGCATACAATGATGAAATCATTACCTTCCTTCTTCACATATAATGTGGGTTCATTCTCACTTCTCATGTATCCATTTTTCTGGAAGTAACCATCGATCTTGCTATACCACGCTCGAGGGGCTTGTTTCAAGCCATACAATGCCTTTTTCAGCTTGAACACCTTTGTTTCATTGCCTTCCTTTATGAAACCTTCAGGTTGAGTTACATAGACTTCTTCTTGTAAGTCTCCATTGAGAAATGCCGACTTGACATCAAATTGGTAAACTGGCCATTTCAACTGTGCAGCCAATGGTAAAACCAGCCTCATTGTTTCAAATCGAGCTATCGGAGAAAATGTTTCTTCAAAATCAACACCATACTGTTGTGCATAGCCTTTTGCCACAAGACGAGCTTTGTGCTTTTGTAGGCTACCATCTACAACAAATTTTGTTTTAAACACCCACTTCAAACCAATTGCGTTTTTCCCTTTTGGTAACTCCATCATTTCCCATGTTCTATTCTTTTCAATGGATTTCATTTCCTCCACTATTGCTTTCATCCATTCTTCTTTTTCTGCAACTTCTTCATAATTTAAGGGATCTGAAACAGAAAAAGTAAATTGACAAGTCGCATAAAGGTTATTAGCATACTTGGGATTTGGCGTTCTAAGCCTTGTTGATCTTCTTAATGGAACTATCCCATCTGAAGACTCTTCATGAGTTGCTGAAATCGGTGAGGTTGGTAACTCCATGGAAGAACCTGAAAGTGAACTTGCAGGGGTTGACCCTTTTTCTTCTTCTTCAGTGATTCAAATAGGCATAGGAGTTTCTTGTCGCACCAGCTTTTCACTCCAATCCCAACTTGCATTTTCATCAAATATTACATCTCTTCTAACTAAGATCTTGCCATTAAAAGGGTTATACAATCTATATGCTTTGGAGTGAGTACAATAGCCAATAAAAATGCATTTTTCAGATTTTTCATCAAGCTTTTGACGAGCTTGTGAACTTACCAAAGCATAAGCAACACACCCAAAAACCCATAAATGACTTACATTTGGTTTCCTACAATGCCAAGCTTCATAAGGAGTTTTATTCATAACAACTTTTGTTGGTGAAAGATTCAACAAGTAAATAGATGCTGCCACAGCTTCTACCCAGAACTGATTTGTGAGTTTCTTTGCTTGCAACATGCTCCTTGCCATCTCCACCACAGTCCGTTTCTTCTATTCAGCGACACCATTTTGCTCTGGGGTATAAGAAGTTGTTAACTCCCTATGGATGCCATTTGTTTCACAAAACAAATTGAATTCGTTGGACACGAATTCTCCTCCTATATCTGTGCGAAGAACTTTGATACTGCAGCTACTTTGGTTTTCCACCAAAGCTTTAAATTTCTGAAACTTTTCAAATGGTTCAGACTTGCTCTCCAGAAAATACACCCAACTCATGCGACTATAATCGTCAGTAAATAACAAGAAATAACGACTTCCACCTAAGGACTTAGTCTGCATAGGACCACATAAGTCAACATGTATTAATTCTAAACATTTTGAAGCTCTCCATGCTTTTCCAACAGGAAAAGATTTCCTAGTTTGTTTCCCATAAATGCACCTTTCACATAAATCAAGAGAGCTAATTTTCGATAATCCAAGAACCATGCCTTTATCACCTAGCAATTTCAGGCTCTTTATATTGAGATGACCGTACCTCAAATGCCATAGCTTCGAGTCGTCCTTTGCACTTGCAGCGAGAGCAAAATTTTCCATGTTAGAAACGTCCAGCGGAAACATATTGTTTGGTGTCTTGGTGATGTGAACCTTTTTGCCCAACTTCTTGTTTGTAATGACACAAGCATCATCATCAAACAAAAGAGAATATCCGTCAGCCATTAGTTATCCAACACATAGCAAATTGAATCCTAAATCTGGTACGAATTGAACATCATCCAACATATTTACTTTGTCGTGGCTAATGTCTACAGCCACCTTGCCTTTTCCTTCAACCTGCATCTCTTTTGTGTTGCCAAGTTGCACCTTCTTCTTTTGCTTATCATAAAGGTCTCTGAACATAGATTTGGCCCCTGTCATATGATTTGAACAACCACTGTATACGAACCATATATCACTTGGCTTATGGTTTGCATCAATGCAAGCCATAAAAAGATAATTCTCTTCCTCATTTTCTTCTGCTGCAAAATTCATTTTTTGGTCTTTAAACCAACAATCAGCCTTTATATGCCCATAGCGGTGGTAGTGATGACATTGAACGCCATTCTTTGTGTTGCCTTGCTCATTGGACTGCCTATGCCCATAATTTCTTCCTCTGCCTCTTCCATAACCACGGCCTCGACCACCGCAAAATCCTCCTCTTCCTCGGCCTCTACTTGCTGGACCATTATTATCTCCATATTTAGTGGTTGCGTCTTTCACTTGGAATGCCTTTTCTTCATTCTTCTCTACTGATCGATTGATTCTCGCCTCATGAGCTTGAAGAGATCCCATCAGTTTATCAAAGGAAAAAAATGATAGATCATTAGATTCTTCGATAGCCGCAACTACGTGATCAAATTTTGGATTCAAGCTTCTCAATACCTTTTCAACAATAATCTAATCAGTAACCTTCTCTCCATAGGATCGCATTTGACTGACAATTGTCATTGCTCTTGACAGAAAACTAGCAATAGATTCACCACTTTTCATCATCAAGGTTTCAAAGTCACGCCGAAGTGATTGCAGTCTCACCACAATGATCTTTGAATCTCCTTGAAACTCTTTCTGCAGAATGGACCAAGCTTGCTTTGATGTTATTGCTATTGCGATTCGTGAAAAAATGTTGTCATGGACAGCCTGCTGGATAAATACCAGCGCCTTAGCATCTTTTTTCTTGTTGTCTCGCAGCCTATTTTCTTCATCAGGATCTGTATATCCACGCTCTACTAAGTCCCAAAGATCTTGAGGCTTGAGTATAGTTTTCATACGTATACTCCAGAATTCGTAGCTTTCTCCCTTGAAGACAGGAATAAGTGGTTGTGCCACACTCAATGAACTACCGTTAGTTGCCATGACTGGCTCTGATGCCAAATTTGTTGGAGAAAAAGTACAGAGAAATCTGAAAACAATAAAAAAAAGAAGGAAAACTGCGACTTCTTTCAATTTATGATTAATTGGAAGTTACAAAATAACAAAATATGCCCACATGATAATAGGCTAAGTGATAAATAACTAATCCTAAAATATAGGTCCTATAACCCCACTAAAACACTATTTCAGCAACACTAGGAAACTACCTAACAAAATGCAGAAGACTAGTTCAACCAAACTATCCATGTCCTAATATACGTGTTCCTACTTTGTTTTGAATCACTTTTCAACAAAATTATCCTAACTTTGATGTTTAAGTTATACGTATCATGTTTAATAGTCAAATAATGAATAAAATAATATTAAATTTGTACTTTAAAAATATTTATATTTGTACAACGTACTAAGAGTTGCTTTTATTTAAGTGAAATCAACACGCTTGGGTAAGAATAAAAGAAGAACATCAGAATTGAAGAAGTTAATTCGATAGAATCAGGATCAACGAAAAACGATTAAAAAAAATCATTTAGAAGCATGATCTCCTATCCTCTCTCTTTCTTTTGGAGAGAGATGGAATCAATTACATACTTAATAAAGTTGATTTAATACGTCTATAGGGTTCTTAATTGCAACTACATTCTAATTAATCACCTATGTACATTTTAAACAAGGCTCAAGTCTTACACTTGCTCTTTCTACAGAACAAAAATAATTGATTGTCATGCATATGATAAATTTAATTTTGTAACATAATTGTTATTTGTAATTGTGTTTTAAAGAGAAAAAAACAATAATTTCTGAGTTTCTTTCCATGACAAACCTAAAAGCACTATTTTATAAACGGTAATCTTTATTAATCTCTTTTAGTAAACCCAAAAAAAAATAAAAAAAAAATAACAACGTTACGGTCTAGACTCTAGATGTTCACTTTTTTCACAATAATATATTTTTTTACCAAACTTAGCTCTCCTAAATTAAACCACCAATATAATTTATATTGTCTAAATTCAATTTTTATTTTTATTTAAAAAAAATAAATAGACAAGCAAACTCTTGTTTCCAGCCTGTCATGAATAGTGGTCTTTATACAACCATCAATTTGAAGAACGGCATGCCACACAATATATGGTTAAATTTTTTAAATTATTTTTTTTTTAAAAAGAAAAAGGACATAAAAGTGAGGGACCATTGTGGGAGAGTTGGCAAAATAGTCACTCTCCAAACTTAATTGAACATTAAGACAAAAGTCTTGAATAATTTATGATATATCCACTATTAATGACATCATCCACATGCCCTAATTGGCACATACAAAAGACCTCACTAAGTTTTCATATCTCCACTTTGGTCTCCCTTCTTTTTCAACTAATTTGGAATAATATATATCTATTTGCATTTGTTAAAAATTATATTAGAAAAAAAGAAAAAAGCCAAACAAACAGGAAAGAAGAGCAGCTCATTTTGCTGCTATCGAAACTGATGATTCCGACGAATTTTCCGGCCAAAATATCATTTTCAAGGTAAAATCATCATCATCTCCTACTCCAAAGTCATGTTTACTCCATTTTCTTTCAAAAACCAAACTTCAAAATGATTTTTCCGCCATTTTAGAAATTAGAGAAATGTTCCATAATAAACACTTGATAACTCATTATAGATACATTTTAGCAGTTTAAAAGCATTAAAAAAAATTTTCGCCATTGCAGGAGCTGCATTTTGTACCACGATCTCATTCAGTCGTGTTTCTGTACGGATGTCAGACTTCATCGATTGTTAACGACTGATATTGTAATCTAGTATATATCTTTGTAGTCTATAATGGCAGTAACTGAATTTGTTGTTACTGGTG